TCATCATATTAAAAACAACAAGTAATGTTACCCACGTTAATGTATAGCGTTTGCAGAGTATACAAATTTAGATGATGATTGCGACCAACCAAGAGAATGTAAATAAAAACAACAACAAAAAATATCAATGCCCTTCACACATTGTAAGTAAAAGAGCGTACAATTTAAGGGAATATAATTATTGTTCACTTACTCGTTTTATGACTGCTCCCACGCCGAAAGATCTTTCGATGAGAATAGCCGTTTTGAGAAGGTGTATGGTGATGAGAGAGTTAGATGGTTTTACATTATCTGGTTGTTTGCTCGCTCAGCAACAATGTTGCCAATCGTCTAGCAACATTAAACCTGCAACACGCTTACAAATTACACGCTTAGTAGGGTAAGAAACATACATCCAGCAACATTTATTTAAGACCACAACCCAATATTTTTTTACTGCATTAATGTAATGTAAATATGTCAGCAATTGATATAAGTGCGTAGAATTGTGTAGTTGGGCTTTGTTCTTAACAATGTTGTTGGAAATACACGAATGTAAAAAAAACCCGTGTGGACAATGTCGGAGATCACTGCACAGTTTAAATAACTTTAGACAGCAGAGTTACAACACTTGAATTGAGACAATGAGGAAGTCTTCGAAAGAAATTATATTGAGTTGATTTCACATGACATATCGATAGACATGCAGATCAGCTTTTTTTTACTTTAATTTTGTTTATCACTTGACAATTAATTAACTTTCAAATTCGAAGGTGGATTTAAGTAATTGTAGCTCTGTTGCCTTAAAAGTTAACACTTAAAATAACACAAGTTAACGTACATATTTTTTCTTAATGTATACTTATTCTGTTTTGTAAGATCTATGAAAAAATTTCGTTTCACCAATTTGTCGTTGTTTGCACAAGTATCATCGTTTCCTTTGATTGATTTATTAAAATGGTTTTTGCAGCAATATTAATGAAATCGACTCCGACAATTTTTTCCCTTTTTTAGGACTCTGCCTTGGACGTTTCGAACCAACTTCATAAGAAACTTCTGGCACTCGTCTATATAAAATAGTAAGGGGTTTCTTTGCGATAGATATTTAGCTCACAATACGAAGGTTTTTTTTTCACAATTTTGGATGATCACTTCTTACAGCTCAGAGGTCGCACAACAATTGAATGCGACAATATGATCAACCTGTTGAGTGAGTTTATCACAATTGCAGAAGAAAACCAGTATTTTGTTGGTTTGATTCTATGTTTGTTGAGAGCTATTCCAACGGCAGATGGTGCCTATCGCATAAAAAGAAATAGAAAATATTCAACTCTCAATTAACTTGAGATTGATATAAAACAAATTCCTTACCGCATGGGCGTAATAACAGCGAATAAATAATTTTAAAGGGATTCCCTTCCAAATTGGGGTGATAGAATAAAATGGATTTTGTCGACCATAAAGTATAATTTTGGCTGGATGGTTAAATGTTGATTAAAACGATCTAAATATGGGATGCATTTAATCAGAATAAGTCCTAATGATTTATATTCCGACAAAAAAAACTTACCAGTTTCAGCAATAAAATTTTGTAGCTTCGGTTCTCAAAACATTAGATAATATCAATTGATCACAGTAATGAAACTTTTTGAAATTATTAGATTGAAAATATTATTATAAAGAACTGAAGCCTTGAACGGTTTGCGACAAAATGGCCGAGAAAACGGAGGCTTGCTTTAATCAAGTTCCCTCCATAAGTTTTTGTGAGTAACAGAAAAAGCCAATAAAAATAGTGTAAGTACCCGCAATGTGATAAATAGGCTGTTGGCCAGATGTGAACTGCAACTGTAGGTGGCGTTGAAGATAATTACCAGTAACATTTGATGCATTGGAAAACAAATAAATGATCTATATTTGGAAAGCAAATGATGGCAAGCACCACATTACAACCGACTCCGATTTTCTAACTCTATGTTTGAGTTGCCGACAAAAATCGTTATAATAAAATGCTTATAATTTCAGTAATTAACAAAATTTTTTGGAAAGTAAGCCACCAAAATAAAAAGTAGTCGCTAAGTCCTACCTAAAAGCAACAGTGCTGCCAACTTTAATTAAGGCTTTTCATGCATAATTACGCAATTTAATTTTGTCGAAAAATTAGTAAAAGATTCCTACTTCTGGGGTCCAAAACCGTTACTTCGCTGAGGTACATTTTGAACATATCAAATTTTAAAAATCACCGGTCTTCAATGAGAAGGTCCCTACACATCTTCTGTGAGAAAACCAGCCGATCTTCTTTAAGTATGCCGTCCAGTCTTCTTTCAGAGAAATATCTAGTCTTCTTTGAGATAACCATCTGACCCTTTTGGAGAAAACCGTCTAGGCTTTCTTGGAAAGAGTCTTCTTGAAGAGATCTTCTTATGGTCTTCTCACAGAAGAATAAATGTATATCTTTGAGCGGAACGTCTGGTCTTCTTTGAGATGATCATATAGCCTTCATTGGGAAGAGCAACTTTGTCTTTTATGAGACAAACTTGTCTGCGTTTTGTCTCTTCTTTCGTTTTTGATATGATGTCATAGAGACCTGCCCTTAGCTTTTTTTTATTGGGTATAAAAAAAATTACATAAGAAAGTTGTGGTCCATTTTCCAAGAAAAATATAATCCAATGGCCATGCAAAATGCAAGACTCCTTTCCTGTCCTTAACTCTCTTCTCATGCAAAATTCCGTGTCGATTGCTTTTTAATTGTGATCTGTAGAGCGACTGCAAAGTCAGGAAATTTTAATTTTTTTTGTCCATTTAAAAAACAATAGGCTTTTCTTCTGACCCTAACCCCATGGAAAATTTCGTGAGCTTTACACGATAATTGCGACCTGTATATAATACTCCAACACATAGTGTTGCAGGGTGCAGAAAAATTTTAGAATATGTACAATTCAAAATTTTGAGTTAAATTAAAATAATCGCATGCGATAAAAAATATGACAAAAATTGAAAACAAATATATTTACTTTTTGTTGTCATATTTTTCTGCGATTTTTCTAGATATTATCCTTTTTCGGCAAGAGGCCATTCCGAATTGATGAGAATTTTGCAAATCTGTTCAGCGGTTCTTGACTTATAAGCAGAATAACTAAGATTTTTTCTTTTATATATATGTTTTGCTACATATCCGATATCAGGACTATTTGCATCACTGTAATGGCCAGAAGTGACTTTTCAATGCTTTTGTGATTTGTGAATATTCGCGATTTAGTGAAAATTTGAGTATTTTTTACATAAAAGTTATGGTTCATTTTACCCGTTAAATGTTGTCCGATTACGTTCCAAATTGATTAGCTTCTGCCCAGCCCTGAACTCTAACTCCATGCAAATTTGCGCATCGATCGATTCATAATTGTGACATATAGAGCAACTGCAAAATCAGGGTTCTATTTTGACCCTAACCCCACATCCATTTTAAATTTCGTTCGGGTCGGGCCACAATTGCGACCTGTAGCGTGATAACAACTTAACATGGATAGACGGAAGGACGGAGGGACATACATAGCTAGATCGACTCAGCTCGGCGAGATAGGGAGATTCCTATGTCGGAAACCATTATTTCGAGGTGTTCAATAATTTTTAGCCCAATCAAAATTATAATACCCTCAACACATAGTGTTGTAGAGTATAAAAAAAGCATTGAAAAAAAGAGAAAATTTAATTTTTTGTACAAGAAATTCAATATCTCTCAAAAGGCTTTAAACTTCAGTTGATTTGAAAGGACATATTTTCCTACGCATTTGGGTAATACAAAATGAAAAAGTGTGTATTTTTGTTCGCACCGAGCCTTAGTAGGTGTGTTATGATTCAATTGCAGTTTTTAAATATATTTCATTTTTCTAGAAACGCAATATATTCACATCACTCCCTGTTCCCTCCCCTCATTAATGTATTGCACAAAACATGAATCGTTTTTCCAAATAAATATTTTCCTTTTAAAATAAGCAGATTATAGTCAAGATCAAACTGATTTATGCTGCTCAAATAACAACACAATCTTCACATCCAAAAATAATAATGACATTTATCATCATTTACATTATTATTATTATTTTTAACTTTTCTTATACCAAATATCTGGGCGAATGGCTGACAACTAATGACGACAATACTGCTGCTGATGATGACAATAATGGCTTGAAACAAGAGCTTTGATGAAAAAGCAACAATTGAATTTTATTCTTGGAAGTTGTTGTAGTTATTTTTGATAAAACAAACAACAAGACAACAGCTGAGCTTGTATTGGCAACAATGTGGGTGGTGTTCATCGATGGGTCGTGTAGACATGGTAGTAGGCCTCAAATTATATACCAGAAGGCATGCAGGCAGCAATAGCAGTTTTGCTACATGACAATGGCCCTGGCTGTCGTCAGGGTTTTCCCTCTGACTTATTATCTTTTTGGTGAAAAATTAAAATGTCAATATGCCTGTGAAGGACAAGGTTAACAGAAAACGAAAAACACAAAACTGTTGCCGATGAACCGATGAATAGAAACAAAAATATATATGTACGCCTTACACACGTAGCAACAACAACAACGAAAAATGCAAAACATTTAACCCCACAAAGTCAAAACTCTTACCAATGACAATCACAAAAAAAACTTAGGTCCGCAAAATTTGTTTTATAAAATACAACAAAAACACAAAGGTTAATTAAGCCAACAGAATAAAAGATAACAAACAACTTTGAGAGGTTTTTATTTTGTTGGTGGCCTTTGTTGTTTTTGGTGTTAAAAACAATTTGTGTACAAATTAATTTGTAGCAAATATTATCTAAGCAACAGCAAAAAAGTCAGAAAGACGTTATTGAGACCAAAAGTTATTTGAGGAATAACTAAAGAAAATGTTTTCCCTCATTTCAATTGGAGCGCACATATTCGTTAATACCAGTCTTCAAATACTTTTTTCAAATGACCGTGTTTTTGACTTTACCTTTAACCTTTTTGTATAATTTATTGGATATTTAATTGTAATTTTATTTCATGTGTTGTTTTATTGGTATTCAATTCTTTGTTGTTTGTGTGTATGTACAATTGTTTCATTCGTTTAATGTATAATTTTTGTTTGTTGTAAATTGATTTGTCTAATTTAGAATTTATTTTATGTTAATTATGTACAATTTTGTAATTCAATTTGTTTGGTGTTTGTACAATGTTAATGTTGTTTTTTTTTATAATGTAATGTTGTGTAATGTAATTTTAAAAAATAAACTAAAATGTCACTTCTTTCTTCACTGGGCACTTGTCGATGATTTTCGCGGGCACTTGTCGCTTCACGGGGCACTCGATGATTTTTATGTTGTCGCTCTAAAGATGGTTGACGAACTGACCGGGAATATTCTGGCTTTGGGCTGCCAGAGCTGTTGAATATTCCAGGATTTATTGGAAAGTGCTTGGCTAGCGGCAGCACGTATGCATGTATTTGTTAATATGCACCAATGTACATATTGTGTACCGCTAGCCGAAAAATTTAAAATTCAAACGCACAGTAGCGACCAAAAGTATGGTCACTGACCATACATTCTCCGCCCCCATGACTCCGTGCTAATATGCGTCTTTTCACATCGATGGCATGTTCCTAATTGGTCCAGCGAAGACATATCCCAGGTTAGTGTTGTACGCCTGAACATCACCCACTCCAGCCGCGGTACATCCATCTTTTCTTATGGCAGAATACGTGTCTGCGCCTAATTCCAAGTCTATGGGTACATTGCTTCTAGGGTCTGGGTCCGCAAGTGCTTGCTCTGTAAAATATGAGGTTGGGTCATCTAGTATGGGGTCTGAATAAATTCGTCTCGGCAGCTCATCTGTCACAAGAGCATTGACCTTCAGCGCCCATGTTGAATTAGATCGCCGGCTCATTATTTTGAAGGTCGTAAATCGACGATCTTGGTATAAAAATGACCTCAGACCCATCCGTTGGAAGGTAGAGTACCCTATGCGGGACATTACAGCTGACTTACTCAGCAACGCCCGTATCGTATAGTGGGTGTCTATATCTTCGGTGGTAACTCGCAGCATGACAGTGGGTACAAAGACGAGATCCCACGAAAAAGGCGGCTCGTTTATTTGAGCGGGCTGTAGGCTATCCTCGAGTTGTGGCGCCCCATGTAGCATGGTGTGGTGTCGATAATCGCATCGTCGGCAACCCGTAATGCATGGACAATCGGGGGCCAAATGCGATCGTGCCAGACAGTTTCGACAGTATCCCCGCCGCTCAGTGGTTTCGTATCTCTGATACGGAGTTTGGTCTTTAAACCGCTGGCACGAGCTCAGAGCATGGTCCTGCTGACACAGTCCGCAGGAGTATTGCCAATGGCCTGGCCGTGCTCCTCTAGCTCTGGGGGCTGGTCTATTTTCAGAACGGCTACGGTGACTGCGATCAGGACTCGGGCGGCGTTCGAAGTGTCGGGCTGGGTTGCTTCTATTGGGTACTGGTGCTGGTTCGCGGGCTGGGTGGGCTTCTGGTGGATGTGGGTTGCGGTCGGGGCGTTGCGGGCTTCTTTCTGCAATTAAGCGACGGGATTCTCTCCTTTCAGGGCGTCTTGGGCTCTCTTCGTCTCTCCAATTCTGGACTGGTAAATATGCTGCCATCTGTGAAAAAGAGAAGAAGGAGTACTAATTCTTTTGAAAGGAGGGGTCCGACTAATTAGTCGGAAAATAACTTGACAACCTTCGTTATGGGTCGGCTGATGTTGCCACCAGCAGTTTTTATGTCTACTACTCTAACATTTTGATCTGTTCCCTGATGGGTCTTGATAATTCTCCCGAGTTTCCACTCATTTGGTGCCAAACGTTCGTCTTTAATCACAACTAAGTCACCTTCTTTAAGGTTATCCTTTTGATATTTCCATTTCGTACGTCGATGAAGCTCATGTAAATATTCAACCTTCCATCGATTACACAAATATTGGGAGATTATTTTTAACCTTTTCCATCTATTAACCAGACTAATATCTTGATCAGAAACGTCGGGTTCGGGCGGAGCTAAAATCGCGGTACCGATTAAGAAATGACCTGGGGTTAAAGGCGCCAAATCGTTAGGATCTTCGCTAGCTGGACTCAAGGGTCTAGAGTTAAGACATGCCTCTATGCGGGTTAAAATTGTAGTGAATTCTTCGAAAGTAAAGTTCATTTTTGGCATGCTTTTTCTTAAATGATTTTTAAAGGATTTAACCCCGGCCTCCCACAAGCCACCCATGTGCGGAGCGCCAGGCGGGATAAATTTCCAACTAATATTTTGATGAAAATTGTTTTGAACTGTACTATTTTGTATATTTTTCATGAAGGCTAGTCGATCCCGCTTTAACAGATCAACTGCTCCCACAAAATTGGTCCCGTTATCGGAGTAGATACACGACGGACAGCCCCGTCGGCTAATAAATCTATAAAAAGCGGCAAGAAAGGCATATGTCGACAAGTCACTTGTGGGTTCCAAATGAATGGCTTTGGTAGCGAAGCAAACAAACAAACAGACATAACCTCTCGTAATGAAGCATGCTCTGCCAGAATAACTTTTAATATTGAAGGGTCCCGCAAAATCTACGCCTGTATTCATAAAGGGTCTTGCCAAGAGAGTTCGTTCAGGAGGTAGTGATGCCATTATTTGATTCTGTGTGCGTTTCTTGTAAATTAAGCATATTTTGCAATTATGTATTGTTTGTTTAACCAACGATTTTAGTCCGAATATCCAGAACTCGGACCTTAATAATCTGGTCACCAACTGATTACCGCCGTGCAATGTGATCTTGTGAGCAAAATCTACTAATAGTTTGCTTAATATAGCTCCGTGTGGGAGTATTATTGGATGCCGTTCATTGTAAGTTAGCGCAGGCGATTGTACTAATCGGCCATTAGATCTCATGATCCCTTTTGAGTCCAAAAAAGGATTGAGTGTCAGTAATGGACTAGAAGACGATATTCGAACTTTCCTTTCAAGTGATTCATAGTCGGCTGCGTAAAAGAATTTCTGGGTATGAATTATGCAAGCACGTTTACCATCCTGAATTTCTTCTGCGGTGAGTTCCATTGAAGAGGTTCTAAGATTTCGTCTATTTATTCCAGTGTTTTTCCAAAATCTTAACGCATATGCATATGATCTGTAAACCCTTGTCAAAGATGAGTAATTTTTTAGAGGGTCACTTTCTTCTTCGAATAGAGTCAGTGCTTTTAGTGTTTTTGCTTCTAAGTTAGTATCATCGGGAATTTTATGTGCTGGCCAACGAACTTTAGGAATTTTGAGCCATTGCGGTCCATGCCACCAGAGTGTGTTGTTTATAAGTTCGCTGGGTGGGCATCCGCGACTGGCAATGTCTGCGGGGTTATCCTCAGAGTCTACGTGATTCCATTGTTCGGCTCCACTATTTTCTAAGATATCAGATGTACGATTTCCCACAAAGGCTGACCAATGGCAAGGTGGTTTTTTCAACCAAGCCAGCACGATTGTTGAGTCTGTCCAGTAATGAACCGAAAAGTTTGATATCTGGAGATTGTTCAATATTGTTGATGCTAACTTCGCCAATAGGACGGCTCCACAAAGTTCTAATCTGGGAAGTGAAATTTTTTTGATTGGAGCAACTCTTGTTTTTGCAGTAAGCAATGACGTTTTGATTTCGTTGTCTTCATTCTGTAGTCGGATATATAATGCTGCTGCATATGCTTTTTCCGAGGCATCGCAGAATCCATGAATTTCTACAACACTATTTTTGGAGTAATTTATCCACCTTGGGACTTTTAAATGCTTAATATCTGCGCTATGTTTAACAAAGTTTTGCCAGTTCAGAAGTGTCATTGTTTTCAGAGTGTCATCCCAGTTTATCTTATCAAGCCAAATTTGTTGCATAACTAGTTTGGCGGTTACTACAACGGGAGCAAGCCACCCACATGGGTCGAATAATTTGGCAATTGTTGAGAGAACTTCCCTTTTTGTATAAGCTCTTTTAATGTCCATTGAGGGTGGAGTGAAATTGAAAAAGTCTCCAGCAATGTTCCAACGTATTCCAAGTGTTTTTGTCGAGGCGTCATCGGAAATATCCAGAGAATTCACTGGGCTAAGCTTTTCTTTGGGCAGGTCATTTATTAATTTTGGATCATTAGCAGTCCACTTCATTAGCTCAAATCCAGCGGATTCCATAGCAGCTGCTAATTCCTTGCGAGATTTTATGGTCTCTTCGATCGAATGACCTCCCGCTAAGACGTCATCAACATAAAGGTTTTCCAAAATTACTTTCGATGCTAGTGGATAAGTGTCTTTTATGTCTTCAGCTAATTGAATGAGAGTTCGAAGAGCCAGGAAAGGTGCACAATTAACCCCAAATGTTACCGTTAACAATTCATAATCTTGTATAGGGTCAGACGAAGATTTTCTGAATAATATTCGTTGAAACTTTGTTTGACTAGGGTCCAATAAAATTTGCCTGTACATCTTTGTAACGTCAGCATTATAAACGTGTCTGAAAAATCTCCACTTTAGTACTTGTAATACAATATCTTGCTGTAAAACCGGACCTGCATATAGGTTGTCATTGAGACTTCGCTTGTTTGACGTTGGACTCGATGCATTGAAAACAACTCGTAATTTTGATGTAATCTTTTCAGGTCTTATGACTGCGTGGTGTGGCAGATAATAGTTTGGAGTCTTGTTTATGTCATTTGAAGATATTTTTCTCATATGCCCGAGTTCTAGATATTCAAGGATCGTGTTATCGTATAATTCCTTTATCTCCGGACTTTTCATAAGCTTTCTTTCCATTCTATAAAATTGGGCTAAAGCAATATTTCTTGATTCTCCAATTTCTTCGCATTTTTTGAATGGGAGGGTCACAATATATCGCCCTTCCGAATTCCTTTTGGTAGTTTTCAAGTAATTTTGTTCACATAATACGTCTTCATCTGATCTCAAAACCTGTTTTGGGGTCTCTTCCACCTCCCAAAAACGTGTTAATATTTTTTCCATCGATGTAGTATTGCAAAGTGATATTTGTCTCTTCTTTTGTGATTCATCCTGTAAGGGTCCGCCAATTATCCATCCAAACACAGTTTTTTGAGCTAATAAGGTACCAATCGATTTCATAGGTGTTCCAACTGTAAAGATGAGTGGGCCTATGTCCATCCCTATTAGGAGATCAACTGGTTGGCTGATGTAGAACTTCGGGTCGGCTAATTCCAAGTTCGTAGCGTCATGCATCTGTGTTCTTTCAAGGGTATATGATGGCAAGTTTGACGGAAGCGATTTCAAAACAGGTGCCCAAACTTCTAACTTGAAATTTGGGTCAAGTCTGGAACGTAATTTAAATACGCAAGCTTTAGCCGAAGTTTCAGAAATGAGTCGATTAATTCCTGTAACATGCACTAGGTTTCGTTTAGTGGGCAACCTTAAACGATTCTTTAATTTCTCAGTAACAAAGGTAGATTGTGATCCAGAGTCGATTATAGCTCGTGCGTCGTAATAATGACCATTCGCTTCGATTTGAACCATGGCTGTAAAAAGTAGGGTGTCTCCTGGACGAGGATTAACTTTACCGTCATCCTGTAGTGTCAAAGTTGTTATATTCGCTGTTTCTTCATTTGATGTGGACTGTATTAGTGTTGTGAGAGCGGCAGCACTGGTGCTAGGGCGTGCTTCCTCTTGTGTTGTAGTTCCCTTATGTAACATAGTATGGTGCTTCAAATTACATGTTCTGCATCCAAAACGACTTTTGCAATCTTTCACGCCATGGTTAGACGATAAACAATTGTAGCACAGGTGTGCCATTTTGACCACATGAATCCGGTCATTTACGTTTTTAGCGATAAATTGTGGACAATCTCGTATGAAATGATTAGATTTGCAAATTTGGCACGTATTTTGGTACTGAGTCTGGGATTGCTGCTGAATGTTTGCATTTTTACCCTTGTAATTTTGGGCTTTCTGGTTAATATTCGCTTGAAAACTGCTTGTAAATCTCATTTTCTTTGTATAATCGTTTCTGCTCTGAGTCTGCTGATTTGGTTTTGACAAGTTTGGTTTTATGTTCCCTACTGATTCAAGCGTTTTGAATTTGTGGGTCAAAAAATTGTTAAAAGCTTTCCACGATGGTAGAGTCTTGCAATCTTCTATAGTATTTTCGAATTCTTCTAAAAAAGTTCTTGGAAGTTTGCTGGAACAAAGATATATTAATATAGGATCCCAGCCTGCTACTTCAACATTTTGTGTCTCCAAAATTTGAATGCAGCTATTTACTGTTCGCTGTAATTTCTGTATGCTGTAACTCGAATCAGTTGAAACGTTTGGTAAATTAAATAGTATTTTTAATTGCTCGTTCACCTGCATTCTCTTATTCTCGTATCTGTCGGTTAAATTCCTCCAGGCTAACTCAAATCCCTCATTTGTTAGAGGAACATGGCTTATAACTTCTCTAGCTTCACCAGTTGTTTTCTGAGTCAAATGAAAAAGTTTTTCAACATTGCTCAATTTGGAGTTCTGGATGTAAATGGCGGTAAATAAATCCCGAAAAGTTGGCCAAGTATTGTAACTTCCTTCGAAAGTATCCGTGTCGCAGGGTGGTAATCTCGAAGGTGGGGTAAATTCAGTTTCCTTTTGAGAAAATTGGGTCTCGATTCTGAGTTTTTCCTTTGCTTCATTTTCTTTGAGATTTTGGATTTGTCCATTGATTATTCCTATCGCCTTTTTGTAAGTGTCGATTGCCTCTAAGTAGTGGGTCCTCAGTTTATTTTTATCAACCGGCTTTTCTCCTTCCTCTGGAATAAAATCTCGGCATTCTAAATACGCCTTTTTTACTTGGTCATAAAATGAATTTAGCTCCACTCTCGATGCCTCCAATGTGTGTATGTCGTCATCTGTGCCTGCGATGCTCACAATTGATGCGTAATCCTTCAGATCATTCACGCAATTTGCAAATTTCTCACGGTTGAGTTTAGACATCTTTGTTGTATCAAGGGCCAGACTTTAGAACAAATTTTTGTATGACAAGAATTTGACAAAATTGGCCGATTAAGGACAGATCTTTCTTGTATTTGGATACAAACAAATCAATGATTTTTCTTGGCAAAACCTTGAATGTTACTTTCCAAATATAATTTTAACGACAAGTGATTTTTAATGGGGAATCGCGCTTTCGAATGCGGAAATTTTACAATACTTGCTAGCAAATACGTTTCAAGAGGTCAGAAGAATATTAAAAATTTCGACAAAATAAATTGAGAATCCAAGTTCGGCAAATCAATAAGCATTTATATTATTATTTCTGAAAATAGCAAGTATTGCGTAGAAGGGTCAGTCAAATCGACGATATAATGGCCAGATTCAAACAAAATATCCGTTTTTACTATTTAAAATTTTTCAAAAAATAATCGCAGAAAAAATGTGTGCTGGGTTGCCACGAAAAAGTACCCATTTTCAAAGAGAAAAATCAAAAAATTTACAATAAAATCGCTGAATTCCAATTCTAGGAAGATTTTATTTTGTGTAGAAACAAAATTTTTTAATAAAAGGGTTAACCAAAAAGGATTTACAAGTATTGGAGTTTCCCAGCAAAATGTTTGCCAATAAAAAAAATTTGGGTCAAAAAATTTATTTTTTTGCAAGCGAGGGTTCACTTTTTTAGCAAATTCAATTGTAAATTATCCAAATATAAAAAACTTTTGAATATTTGTCTGAGTCAACAAATACTCTATAAACGCTAGATTTGGATAAATAATTTTTTTGGCAATTTCTTCTTCCAAGTTTCTTCAAAAATTGTAATTCCACAGAATTGTGATATATTTAGTAATTTATGCGGCAAATAGGTTTCCAAATTGTTTAAAATTTTAGATACATTTTTTTTCTTTCATAAAAAGAAATATTGTGGGTCGCAGATTAGATTATCGCAGCACCGATTTTTTAGAATATTATAGAGAATCAGCAAATATTTTTGGGTCAAGTGCCAGCCGTTCACCAGAATAAAAATTCCAAAACGTTTCCAAAAATATTTAAAAAATTGTTTAAAAAATATATTTTTTGAGACTTCGACAAAAATGACTTATTCGTAAAAACTGTTGAGTCAGAAATCGTATCTTAAGTTTTCAAATTTGTTCATTCAATCAAAATTCCAAAAAGTAGATAATTTTGTCGAAAATCCAAAAAAAATATACATAAATGTAAAAGTGTCTCTCCAGAAATTTTTCTATGTACCCCAAGATGAAATGTATGATTTAAAAGTGATATGGATTTTTTTTTTTTTTTTTCAAAAAATTTTGAGAAAAAATACCAGAAAAGATAAGACGATGTATTCACAGCCTCATAAGTAATTATGTTCATATGTAAGATTAAAAAATTTGACTTTGCAATTTTTAAGGTTAGTTAACCTTAAAAATGTTGGTGCTTTTCCGCCAAAAGAAGTTTATGATAACTTCTTGTATGTTTAAAAGACAGGTCTTATTTCCAAGAATTCCCAAAATAACTTTTTCTCAAAATGGCGTTTATAATTATTTAGTGATATTCCGATGTGTCTGTGTTGATGCAAAATATTTCTTGTGGATGTATGTATGTGTCAGGGGGTAACCAGCAATTTTTCAAAAGAAAATTTCCACACAAAATATGTACGATAGCAAGGTTATTTGTATTGGTAAATTATGACGCCAAAAAATTGCGCCATAATATTCCACGTAGATTTCGTGTTGTTTTTGGTATGTAAAATATTTAGCAAAATGTCTGATAATTTTTCTATGTTGTTGTACCGCAATTATGACGCCATAATTTGCGCCAAAATTGGTTTCCAAAGATCGCAAGTTAAATGTAAATGGATTATTTCACAAAACGAGAGGGCAAGTTTCCAAAAACAAGCATTGATTTTTCCAAAACATGTAAATAAATAAGTTTTTTTTTCAAAATGGCCCCAAAATTTTATATTTAATAAGGGTGTGTTGATTTGTCAAAGGTCCCACTGTAAACGGACAGACAAATAAGTTTCAAAAGAGAGTCTTAACTTTCCAGCTTTCCACAAAACGACGGAGAGAAATTCCAAATTTTCCATAAAATGTTCTCAATTTAACAATTTACGGGTTAGTTTCCATAATTTGGAAACTATTTTCCACAATTTCCAACTATTTTTTGAGAGAAATCTAGATGTTTGTGTGTATGTGTAAATAAGGACGTATTTGTGTATTCCCCAGGTCTAAATAAAGGGTCAACATCAGTCCAAGATCCCAAATAACGCTGAGTTTGGGTCAATTGTGTCAATGGGTGTCAAATTATATGTAGAAAACAGCGTTTCTATCATCTAAAGGCACAGTGTCGGTGTCAAATTTAGCCGCACACTGCAATCCTTTCTCGATTTCACGCTCAAAAGCACAAAAAAATGTCATTCGTACTCACTTTGCCTCTCTTTGTAAAGTTGGGAATGTGTTGTGTTACCCCTCGGTTCTTCTTCTTCCTTCTGTTGAGTCTGGGTTGTTTTGTTGGTTTTTGTTTGTTATACCCGAACCGTTGTGTCTTTTTAATTGTCGTTTTGCTTGCTGCTTGTTATTTTTCTGTGGATATAATAAATTTATTATTCACTATTTTTATTATTATTTTTTAATTATAAAATTAATAAATTTTATATATTTTTTCTGTTTGGACCCACTGTGGTTTATTTTTTTTTTCTTTTTAATTTTTCCACTGGTCTCTCATTCGTACATTGTTGCTTTATCACTATTGCTTTCCACTGATCACTGTTCTGTATTCGTATGCATGTGTGTGTGTTTTGCCAGGGTCTACTGTTTTGTTGAAACACTTATTTTTTGTTCTTTTTTGGATGTCTTTTTTTTTCCACTTTGTTTTTTGTTATAACACTTTTGTTGAATGTATTTTCATTTTTTGATTTATTGTTCACTCACTGTTTGCTTTGGTTTCTTTTTGTTGTTCAATTTTTATTGTTCACTTATGAGTACCGTTCACTTATGAGTCAGTTCACTTATTATGAAATTTTTATATTGTATTTTAATTTCACTTCACTTGCACTTTTTTTAATTTATTTATTAAAAAACACAATCTGGCTCGTCAAGGACCAAATGTTTTTGACTTTACCTTTAACCTTTTTGTATAATTTATTGGATATTTAATTGTAATTTTATTTCATGTGTTGTTTTATTGGTATTCAATTCTTTGTTGTTTGTGTGTATGTACAATTGTTTCATTCGTTTAATGTATAATTTTTGTTTGTTGTAAATTGATTTGTCTAATTTAGAATTTATTTTATGTTAATTATGTACAATTTTGTAATTCAATTTGTTTGGTGTTTGTACAATGTTAATGTTGTTTTTTTTTATAATGTAATGTTGTGTAATGTAATTTTAAAAAATAAACTAAAATGTCACTTCTTTCTTCACTGGGCACTTGTCGATGATTTTCGCGGGCACTTGTCGCTTCACGGGGCACTCGATGATTTTTATGTTGTCGCTCTAAAGATGGTTGACGAACTGACCGGGAATATTCTGGCTTTGGGCTGCCAGAGCTGTTGAATATTCCAGGATTTATTGGAAAGTGCTTGGCTAGCGGCAGCACGTATGCATGTATTTGTTAATATGCACCAATGTACATATTGTGTACCGCTAGCCGAAAAATTTAAAATTCAAACGCACAGTAGCGACCAAAAGTATGGTCACTGACCATACAGACCGTGAAGGGGTTTCCACTTAGGAAAGTATATATGGATCTTCCTATCTCGCCGAGCTGAGTCGACCTAGCAATGTATGTATGTTAATTTGTAATCACGCAACAGGTCGAAGTTATAACTCAATCCTCACGAAATTTTTTATTGTGGGGTTATGGTCAGAATATAAGCCTATTGCTTTTTGAGATGATCGCATAATATTAAGGGGTTGGAATGGACCAACAACTAAAAAATTTGCTGATTTTGCAGTTGATCTACAGGTCGCAATTATAGATCTATCGACGCGGAAATTTGCATGTAGTTAGAGTTGAGGGCTGGAAAGAAGCTAGGAAACTTGGATGGTAATCGGACAATATTTAGCGGGTAAAATTAACCATACTTTTTTGTCAAAAAAATATAAAAAATTCCACTAGACCGCGAATATTTTTAATCCTGGTCAAATTACAAATACATTAAAAGGTCACTTCTAATCATTACAGCGATGTTAATAGCTCTTAGTTATGCTTCTTATAAGTCAAGAATCGCTGGATAGATTTGCACAATTCTCTTCAATTCAGAATGGTTTCTTGGCAGAAAATGATAATATCTAAGAAAATCGCGTAAATATATGACAATAAAAAACCGAATATTTTTTTGTTAAATTTTTTCAATTTTTGTCATATTTGTTATCGCATGCGATTTTTATACCCTACAACACTTTGTGTTGGGGGTATTATAAGTTTGATTGGGCCAAAAATTATGTAACACCTCGAAATATTGATTTCCCACATAGGAAAGTATATATGGATCTTCCTATCTCGCCGATCTGAGTCGATCTAGCTATGTATGTCCGTCCGTCCGACTGTCCATGTTAATTTGTAATCACTCTACAGGTCGCAATTATGACCCGATCTTGACGAAATTTAAAATGTAAGTGGGGTTAATGTTAGAATAGAACACTATTTCCTTTGGAGATGATCGCGTAATATTTAGGGGTTGAAATGGACCAAAAACTGAAAAATTTCCTGATTTTGCAGTTGCTCTACAGGTCACAATTATAGACCAATCGAAGCGAAAGTTAGCATGGGGCTACAGCTTCAGACTGGGCAGAAGTCTTCCAATTTTGGTGGTCATCGGGTAATATTTAGTGGGTGAAAAAGGCCATGACATTTGTGTTAAATAAAAGTCAAATTTTCCATTAAACCGCGAATATTTTTAATCCCGGCGAAATCACAAATAGACGAACTGGTCAATTCTGACAGTTACATAGACGCCGATACTAAATATATCGGATATATAGCGAAATATATGCAATGTATATACAAAGGAAAGGTATGTTAGCTGGAATGCTAATATCTCAAGAATGGCTGGACAGATAATAAAAAATCGCACAAAAAGATGCCAATAATGATGTTAATAGATTTTGTAGTATTTGTGTGGCATATTTTTCAATTTGACTTATAATATTGAAATGTATATTTTGTAAAATTTGTTCACCTTACAACACAGGTTGGGGTTATTATATACAGATTGTAATTATCGCCCGATCCTCACGAAAATTTGTATAAGGATAGGGTTAGGCTCAGAAGGGCTAGGCCTATTGTTTTCAAAGATGCCCACAATATATTTAGGGGTTGAAATGGACCAGCAACTAAAAATGTTCCTGATTTTGCAGCCGTTATAAAGGTCATAAATAGATACCAAACGACACGAAATCTCGCACGAAGTTAGAGTTTAGGACCAATATTTTTGTGTGAAAAAAATACCAACATTACTTCAAATATCGTCAAATATCGTAGACAAGCAAATCATATAGATGAGTCTAAAATTGGAGATACAGATGGGCCTTTTGCTTTTTGGAGATGGTCTTAAAATAGTTAGGGTTTCAATGAACCAAAAACAGAAAAAAATTTCTGATCACACAATTGAAACCAATCGACACGCCTGAGAAGAGAGTTAAGAACGGGGAAGAATTCTAGCATCTTGCATGACCATAGGATTATATTTAGCTGTAAAATGGATCACAACAACTAACAGCACGACGGAGAGCGTAAATAGTGGACAAATGTCCCGGGTCAAAATATCAAAAGCGAAATCTTCCCAAATGGATTTGGACATAAGGGTGCTTCTAACATGTTGTGGTGTTGTAGGGTATCACATGGTCGGCCCCTCGCGACTATAGTCTTTGCTTACTTGTATTAATTTGACTTAGAATATTGAATTATACATTTTCTAAATATTTTCTACACCTTGCAACACTATGAGTTGAAGGTATTATATACAGGTCGCAATTATCGTACCATGCTCACGAAATTTTGCATGGGGTTAGGATTAGGGTCAGAATTAAATCCCAGTGTGTTTGAAGATGTTCATTTAGGGGTTCAAATGGACCAAAAAATTAACATTTTCCTGATTTTACAGTCGCTCTACAGGTTTCAATTAAAAACCAATCGACACGGATTTTGAATGAGAAGAGGGTAGTGTACAGGGAAGAAGTCTAGCATTTTGGATGACCATTGGATTATTGTTAGCTGTAAAATGAACCACAACTTTCGTGTGGAATTGTTTTGAATACCTAAAAGCAAAAATTAAATCCTATAGCGTTTGAAGATGTGCATTTAGGGGTTAAAATCTACCCAAAAAAATTAAATTTTCCTGATTTTGCAGTCGCTTTACAGGTGACTATTAAAAACCAAATTGAATACCTAACAACACGACGGAGTGCGTAAATATCCCGGAGTGCTAAGGGTAGGGCTTTATGACATCATATCATATCATAGGGTATAACATGGTCGGGCCCGCACGACCTTAGCCTTTGCTTACTTGTTTTTGTTTAATTTTTATTGCAGTTTGATTTGTATTTAAAACACTGTGCTTCAATATAAGCTTCACTTAGCGGGAGCGTCATTTGTTATTTTTGTTGTTGCCATTTGTATGCGCCAACCATAGCAATGAGAAAACCAAAACATATTAATGCGTTAGTGTTACGCACTAAATAATCAAATCGGACTAAGGCAAAAGGCCACAAACAGAAAAAAACTACGATGAGGCATAAATGCAAACACGAAGAGAATATAGAACGTTGGTGTGCATATTACATCACTCAAATTGGGGGAGGTGGCATAAAAACAGAAAACAAAACACATACAAAATTCTCTAACGAATTCAAAAAGGGACAGGGTTGGAATAAGGTTCGAGAGATTTCGACTTAAATAATGTGAGAGATTTTTTTTCATCACTTAATGCTATTTTTAAGATGCATATTCATGCTCAGAGACTGACAATACAATTTCATTAAAAAAAAAAAATAAATTATAAAGGATTTAAACTCGAATTTGTTACGTATTAAATTAACCGCAAAAGAGCAAAGGCATAAATTTCACTTTTAGTCCATAATTTTTGAATGTTATTTTCATAAAACTTATTCTACCCAGATATGGAGTGTGTTCCAAAGGAATGGACCAATATTGTCCATTTTGTATGGGATCTAAATAAATATTATATAAACATTTAGACGTGCCAGATTTGGACTATTTTGGTTACTTCTTTCGCTTTACATGAGATATGTGATAATTTTTTGAAAATGTGAATATAGTCGACCGAGGTATTCCATTTTCATCCCAACATACCAAAAATGAGAACATGAGAACAATATTATAAAAATATAATTTTTCAACAATGCTTGAGAAACACTTATGTTCCACAAACATTTCTCAAATCTGTCCTTTGTTGACAAATTAGTTTTGATTTCTTGTGAAAATTGTCAGCAAGAAATTATTTTCTTTGGCAGAAAACAAAATCACGCGAATTTAGGACCCATTTCTGGACCGAACCCTTAAGGTATGCATGAATAATAAATCCGGGAATCTTTCACATAAATTATTCCAATCCCATTTCAGATTGGAAGCATCAAAAAAGTTGAAGGAATTCAATAGATATGTAGTCTTAGTGGAAGAGATGCAGAAGTTCAAATAAGGGAGAAGAAAGCGTCAGGGTATCAAGGCCACATGAGGCAGTGACTACTGGGATGTCCATCAAGAAAAAAATGTGAAAAATGATTAAAAATTAAAAAAATAATAATATTATATACTATTACAAAAATAAGCTTATTATAATATTATTTTTGTAAGCTTATTCTACAATTTCAAGTATAAGCTTATAAATAAGGGTTCCGTTTCGATTATTCTATACTTGTTACACAAACATTTTTCAATGTTTTCTCAAGATTTTCTCAAGCTTAAGGCTTATGTTCATAAGCTTATTGTAATATTATTCTCAAGCCATTTTGGTATGTTGGGATACTTCACCTAATACAGATAAAAATATTGGTATGGGCAAAATTGCAAAAAAAAAAAAAATCGATCATTTATATCCAATTTAATGCGAAATCATAAATTCCATACTCATCTCAAGTTTCTAGTTGAGAGAATTATTTGGATACAAAAAGTTGTAAAGAATCGCTGACATGTTTCGCAAGTTATGATAGATAAAAATATTGAAAATTATGACCCTTTGTGGGTGAGGTTCCAGAAGGGGTTTGCAGATATACTTCGTCTTCACAACAGATTTTGTGTTAGCAAAAAATATTTGTATGTGTGACATTTGAAGAAAGTTTGATGCCTATTTCGCTTTCTTTGAGTGTTATGTTTTTCAGAATCTTGAACCCAATGTATGGGGGAGGTACCAGAACAAATGGTTTGATGTCTACCATCTTTATAATAGAACATGTGCTCATGAAAATATTGAGATGTACCAAGTCTGAATGGAATCGGATGTGTTTGAATTTCGTGTTTTATGAGCTTCGAAGATATTCAAAATTTTGACCCTTTGTGGAGGAGGTACCAGAAGAAGTGGAAGACAATCAGACTCTTACATCACATTTTATAAGAGTTATAATTATTCAAAATTATGATTCTTTGTGGGGAGGTACTTGATGGAGTGGACCAATATTGGGCCGCCATAACAGCCGATGGTCGCTCTCCGCTCGACCGTGGCATCAGAATAAATGCCGAATATTATCGCAAAAATATTCTGGAG